GAGTCTGAGGGGAAAAAAAGGATGCTTAAACCAGCTAACTAGGTTGTGATGTGTAGTGGTGCATCACATCTTTCACCATGCAGAGTTGTAGGTGTGCATTTAAAATTGGAGGGGCAGTTTTAGGTGGCAGTCTTTCATTACCCTCAGTGGAATGCCACTAGAGTACTAGATTCATGACTGTATATGAAGAAAGTTAAGCTTTTTTTTGTCTTGCTGAAAACATTCCATTAAGATGCTGTGCTGAAACAACTGCTTATTTCTCATGGAACCTCTGTGCTTCTTGGAGATATCGTCCAAGTGTTGGTGTGCACTTCTGCTGACTGACCAGCTGGTGTTGTTGCAGATGGTGTTTCTACCTAACAATCTGTAACTGATCCTTCTGCTTCGGATAATATTTATTGTGGAATTGCTTACTAGTGCAGTGGGCTTTTATTATTTCTGAAGACATCTGTAAAACTTGATTGTCTTAGGAAATCCCGGAGAGCTTGTGAACTCTATAAGCACTGTTCTTTGTGCGGATGGGACCTTTTTCTGTGCCCTGACTTAACTTTGGGTAAAGTCTTTCACCATATCCTGTAGTCGATTTAGTGCCTTGTTTGACTTGCTTCTATATTCTTTGTCCTTCCCCTCTCCTTATCTTTTCTTACTAACCATTGTACTAATTGCTCTTTCATCCATCAGAGGCCTCTGACATAAGATCACTCATTGAGTGACCCAGGCTGTGCATGGTGTTGGCAGGGACTAATTTCTTATATATGTAAGAGTCCTTGTGTTAAGAGTCTTTGTTTAGGAAGAAGATGGTTTGAATCACAACTGCTGGGCAACAGAATCAGTTAATAGAGATCACCAGAAGATGAGGTAGATTGAGTGAGATCAGGTTCCTTGGCAAGTACCAGACTCTTTTATAATTTGGTTGTCTTCTGGAAGACTCTGTGTTGCTGTTGTGCAAGTTCTCTGTTGCTGTGATTTGAGAGTGTCTTTGTGATGTGTATGTGTCTATCCTGCTGCACTAGACATAGATGTCACTGCTCCCCTGATGAGAACAACAACATAAAAGGGTTCTGTAACAGTTTTGAAGAAAAAGGTTAACGGGGTGAATACTTTTATTTTTAATTCTTATTTTTTTCTTATCATGGGTAGTCAATTTTTGGTAATCTATTGCCCTCCAGCACCAACACACAACTCTATTTTTCACCTCATGTACACAGGTTACACACTTATGAGCAGTCTACATTGACTCTGCTCAGTTGCTTGGGTGAAGGGAACTGATGGGATTAATGTAGATGTTAGATGGTGTGTCAGGACCAGCAGCCTCTGGAACAAATGGGATCTCATTTTCATGGGAAAATATCTGAAACAGAGGATGACCTAGTACTCGGGTTCTTGTCACCCACTCTTGGAACTGGCTATTTGGGAACCTGTATCCTGCCATCAGGTGGAGGGCACTTGCACAGGATATCTTTAAAGGAAAGGGAGCTCTCTGCTGACTGGAAGGTAGAGCTATCAAAGGAAATCTGATGTTTATATATCTTTATGATGAATGTTAACTTCATCTGGATCGTATTTATGAACCAAAGTGGAGAGGAGGCCAAGAAATGTTTTAAATGCCTTTATCCTTCACATGAGCTAAACGTGGTGGAATTAGTTCTGAAGATATGCCACTGTGTGAGCTAGCTGAGTGGGTTTGGAAAAGGCAGGTCATGTTTTCAAGCTGACAGTCCCTGCTGGTTATCACTGTGTTAGAAAGCAGGAGATTTTAACTTGTGTGTCAGCAGAGTGAACCATGGTATCAGAACTGAGGACAGCAGTATCCTTGCTGGTTGGGAAGGCTCTTGTGGCTTTACAGGAGGGTAGGCCAGCAAAACATTAGGGTGAAAGGGCACTGGGTGTTCTTGCTGTTCTGCTACTGGGTTCTGGTTTAATTTCTTCCCATTGCCATCAGTATGAAGCAGATGCGGACTGGAATTGAAAGTCACAAGAGTTCTGATACATTCAGACATTTCTGAATCCTTTTTGATTCCACTTCTGCTGCCTTTCTCCACACCGTAAGCCTAATGTTTTGAGCTGTTGATAATTATTCCTGTGTGGAGTGGTGTGGCCTACTGTCATCTTTCCTATAGATTTTCTGGGTTTTCCTGTTCTGCTGTTACTCCCTGAGCTTTGTTACCTCAGCAGATTAAATCCTGGGCAGGTTTTGTTCCAGCATTGCTCTAGGCCATTGTGAGGAAGTGGCTCCCTTGTTAAGTTAATGACCCGTGTCCTGCCTCCAAGGCTTTATTTTGCTGTGCAGCCCTAGGGTTATGTACAACGACGTTGTTTATGAACTGTCTCTCTCCTTCTGTCATGGTTCCTCACCTAAGGATGCAAATAGTGTTTTACTGTCCTTGAAGGCTCTTTCTGTTGCCTCTGCCAGTCTCTGCCAGCTGAATTTTTACTTCCTTCCCTTTTCATAATGTATCTGACAAAGTTGCTTTCCTTAGGACAAAGAAATAGCACCAATCAGCTCATTTATGTTTTATTTTCTGATTTAATTTGCTGCCCACATCTTTGCATCAAAGTTTATCCATCATAGTTTCTCACATCTACCTGCAGACATGTTTGCTGTTCCTTTTTCATGGCCACTGCTGCCAGCCTTATGATGGCTACTCCTCTGCCAGGTTTTGGTTGGTGCTGCTCTCCTCTCTGCTTGGTGTTTCTCCCAGCACTTCAATGACCTTTCAAGTGCCAGAGGAAGGAGAATGTGTATTGAGCTTCACCAGACGTAACTTTCTAAGCACATTCAGCTTTCCTTGAAGTTGCTCTGCTCTGTCTTCATAAGCTCTCCTTGCTCTCTTTTGCCCGTGTCCTGGGCTTCAGCTCTTGTTCATGGGCTCGCCTCCTGCATTCACCTCAAACAGTCCTATGCACTGGAGTGAAAACTCACCTATGCTGGGAATCCACGTCTGCTTCAGCCATTTCCTGTCTTTGGTCTTGAATGGAAATCTTTTCTCCTAGGAAACACCCTTCTCTTTCATTTTTGTAGTGCCCCTTCTGCTGTTTTCTGCCAGGTGCTCAGGAGGCAAGTTTTCTTGTAAACACAAAGTTGTATTGCAGTGAAGTTATTACAAAGTCAATTAAAACTGTTTACTTGGAAGTTTTTTTTTTTTTTCGTGAATGATTTGAGGACTATAGTTCTTAAAAGGTGATGTGTCTCTGTTCTCATGCTGTAGGAACAGCATGTTGTGTCTGCAACACCTGCTGTGCTGGTACTCTAACTGTACTTGCTTGTTTGCTGCATTATGCTGAGTGGAGTGCTCCTCTGAACCCCTGTGGTTAGGTGCAGTAGGAATGCTAAGGAAAGGAATTTGGTCAAGGTACCAGCCCAGAGAGCTTTTAGATAAAAGCATGAAAAATATAGAGAACTACAGGCAGAAAGAATAAAGAAAGAATGAAGCCCTTTTAGGGAAGGTCCTGGCAGTGGTCTCTGCATATCTTTGCTACTCTCAATTTTGTGTGTGTTTGCCTGGATGTGGAAGGGTGCCTTAGCAAAGGAGAGCTGCAAGGGGGATTAGAGGAGAGCATTGAGAATATTTGCAAAAGCTGTTCCATATGGAGGAGGAGCACGTGCCAAGTGCTAGTCTGAAACATTCCCAAGACGGTGGTGGTGGCTGACATCATGTGCCAGTAAGAGGTGCAAACTGACCTCTTACACTGGCAGAGAGAAAACCATCATGTTAGGAGAAGTCAAGACAGGTTCACCTGTATTTTATGTGGAAGAGAATGGAAGACAGGGAAGAGAGGCAAAGGTACTGTTAAAGTGACAGAGCCACATAACAAGATTTTTCCTATAGGGATGAGAATGGTAATGTTACTTTGGTCAATACTCATTTACAAGGTGTGACAGAGACCCAGTCCAGTCTCAGCTAGTTGCTTTAGTTGGATGAATCAATAGGGAAATGAAGGAGACAACTCGTCCTAGTTAGGGTGTGATGGTATAGGAATTAAGTCAAATAGCATTGCTACTTGTTACCTTGATTGTCAGAGAAAGCAGAGAAGTTTTCCAGCAGGGCTGAAAAGGAAAGAAGTAGGAGGTAGGTAGCAATATGAAATTAAGGGCTTAGTTTATCTTCTTGAGTTATAAGTAATGCCTAGGTATCTAAAACATCAAATAAATTGAGATTTTGTTTCAGACAAGAGGAAATGGCACTGTGCTGGCTGCATAGATACAATAGTTATTGCCCATGTGTACTATGGGGAAAAGAGGAGACCTCAGAATACCAGGGGATAGTGGCCTGTCATGGGGGAAGCCTCAGTCCTGCATATTAAGGAGGACAAGGAAAGTGAAAAGATGAAAAGGTTAATTTAGGCAATAGGAGCAGAAAGAGGGGGGGATATAGGGAAGCTGAAGGAGGATGAAATTTTGAGAAGGGGTCTGTAATCAGATAAGCCTATGGTAGCAAACAGGTCAGAAGAAATGAGGCAAGAAACTGGCTCTGAATTTTGAGTGAGGATTTGGGGTGTAAGTCTGAATGAAGTGAGGAAAAGCACATAAAAGGAAGGAAATTCATGGAGCCTTCTAGGTGGAAGGCAGAAGGGAGATCAATGACACTGACATGCAGGTGAGGTTGGAAGTAATACGTGGGTTGGGGGCTTGTTTGGAGATTCTGATAATGATTGGATTTTGGAAATAAAATGGATGGAGAGAGTTAGCAAAACATTAGTATGGAGGAAAGAGTGGGCAGATGTGAAAGGATGGTACTGGAGCACTGGAGAAGGAGAATGAACAGGAGGTCAAAAATATTTAAAGCTTGTTTTGATGCTGGGGAGTGGTGGATGCATGTGAAGGACACCCATCTGTTCTTTTGAGGTAATGAAAGGAAACGGGTCACTAAGCAAACACACAACTCAAATAAAATGATTGGGTTGAGGGAGAACTTGGCTGTATGTGTGGGTTTGATTTGAGAAGTGTCATATTTGCTACATGCTCTGTAAATCTCCATTTTTTGATTATGTTTTTGCAGTGAGGCTCCATGACAGTATTTCAGAAGAGGGTTTCCATTACCTCGTCTTTGATCTGTAAGTGTCTTTCTTTGGCTTTGATGCTTCACCAGTGATACAGGCACATGGACGTTGACTAAAAGTGTAATAAAAAGCACTTGCATTAATATAATTCTCCCTTTCTCTTTTGAGACCTTTGGATACCTCTTGCCTACATGCCAAAAAACAAACAAACAAACAAAAACCCAAAACAACAACAAAAAAAGAACAACAAACAAACAAAAAAACCCAAACCAACCTGTGTGGTAGGGGATGGACCAGGATGCTCCTGGCAGAAGATGTAAGCGTGTGGGATGGCAAAGGTTGGCTTTCCTGAATAGGGAGGCTGATTTGTGTCTCTGAGGCAGCCTGGAAAAGGTCAGAAGAGGGGTGTTCTGTCCCACTGTAACATACCAAGGTCTGGAGAGGTGCATGAGCAATTCTTGCCTAGTGTGTCAACAGTGTCTTGTACACTACTGGTGAAATGACAATCCAAGGAGTCAGTTACATGGATGTACCAGTGCTGGTGCCATGGTGGTGGAGCTCTGCTCTGGCTGCTTTGTGCCACAGGTCCCCACACAGGCTGTGGGAAAGGGCCCAGGTGGGCAGCCACATACGTTCTGTGCAGGCTTGACCTAGTTGTGCACAGGCTCTGTAACCTGCCTTGTTCTTCTGCACTCCAGGGTTACTGGTGGGGAGCTCTTTGAGGACATTGTTGCCAGAGAATACTACAGTGAAGCAGATGCCAGGTAAGACTGTTTCCAGACCCTTCTGTGTATGTGCCACGTGTGTTGGCAAGTGGAATGATTTTCTTGACTGGTGTTCTGTGCATGGCTTTGTTCTGACACTCTTGCTCTCTGTCTGGAAAAAACAATTCCTCTTTCTGCTCTTAGCATAAACTATTGTCACCAGTCAGCATGACTCACCAGAGTTCCAGCCCTGCTGCTTGCAGGCGCCGCTGCCTTTGCCACTTGCAGACGCGGTGCTCTTTGCTGGGAGACCCTTGGCTAGCGCCTTCGTTTGCCTGCCCTTTCTGGTGGGTGCTGACAGTGTGACCTTAGCGAGCAAACACAGGGCAGAGCTGTCCCTGTGGCTGTGAGAGCAATAGCTTCTTGGCCTCTGCCTTCTAGTTAGGGGTTCCGGTGGCATGCTGTTGCTGTTGGGCAGATCCATTCAATTTGCCTGTGTCTAGGTAATGGTTTATGGGGCAGGGCGAGAGAGGCCTTTGAAGGCTGTGTTTCTGTGGAAGCCCTCTCTGACTCTGAGCTGATTGGCACAGTGAGAAAAGGCACAATATGTAAGAACAAGCTTTATGGTTTATTACTTAAAAGATTTAGATATGCCCTTCTTCTGAGTGTGTTTTCTCCCTCCCATGCGTGAGCTTCCTAAAGTGGTCTGTGCTTGTTGCTTTGCTGTTTATGTAGGATGGGTGTTTTGTGCAGCAGACTGAGTGTGTCTTCTCCCTCCCTTCCTAAAGTGGTCTGTGCTTGTTGCTTTGCTGTTTATGTAGGATGGGTGTTTTGTGCAGCAGACTCTGACCCATCTGTCTGCTGGACGTGCAGCATTTGGAATCAAAGCTGGGATTAGGCAGCTCCTGTTCTGCTTTAGCAGGGCCTGGGAGTGGCCAAATGTGACAGTTCACCCCTGCTTATTCTGCACCCATGTTCTTATCCCATCTGGACCCTTGCTGGAGCAGGAGTTAGGGGAGCCATGAGAAGAGAGGGCTAAGAAGGGAGTAGTGGGTGTTGCTCGCAGAGTGAGCTTGGTAGGCAGTGCTGTGAGGAAGTTAATGCTGAGTGCAAGGAAAGAGAGTATGACCTGGTGTGTTAGGTAGGCACTGCTGTGGAGTCTGAGCGCTTATTTGCTTTCCCTGTGGTGTGCTCACAGCCTCTGCCTTCTGGCCACTGCATGACGCTTTCAAATGAGGTGTTGCACTGTGTGCTCTGCTGTGAGCTGCCTCCTGATGGGGAAGGCCAGTGGGCTTGTCATATCTGATAGAGCTCCTGGCAGGGAGGTCTGAGAGCCCTGTAAGTGTTTTCAGTAGGGTGTACAGATGTTGTAGGCACAGCATCTTGGGCAGGTACACAGTCACTCAGGCCATTCTGCCTCGAAGATGGGAAGTTTTGAGATCACCAGTCTTTCTCCATGTTACTCTTACCACATTTACTACTCTTACTGTTCCCTGAAGTGCTAAAGAGCTGGCAGTGACCAACACTGCTCAGGAAAAGGGGAAAAGAAGTACTGTCTGTTGCTGTGTGTCTTCCTCGGGGCGCTCAGCCTTCTGACTGTCAGCTGGCCAGGTCTTGCAATGCCCACAACATGACAGGGTGAAACTCCTCCCTTTCTCTTCCCATGCCGAGCTGAATTCCAGAGCGGGCTGGGAGAGCGGGGGAGCAAGGTCTGTGCCAATCCACTGCACTTGGCTTGCCTGGGACACCTCACACTTTTGCCATTTTTGGCCAGAAAATCTCTCTTGCTCAGACTCAGCTCTGTTCTAATTATACATTTTTGTTTTGGGAGCGGGGAGATATTCATGGACTCGGACCCTGAGGATTGTACTGCCAGCTCCAAAGGGGTGGGGGTAGGAAATACACAGTGCTGCACCTCCTCTCCTCTTTCTTCCCTTACCCTCTTTCCATCTTTGCCAGTAGCCAACTTCCCTTCCCTCAAATGTTTCACTCATTTCACATTTGTTCCCCTGAGATTTGTAGAATTCAGTGAAGGGACTGACTACTGATCCTGCAGTGAGGATACAGACCTGTCTGAGTTGTCCACACCGAGGTGCTTACTGCCCAGGCAGAGTTGTCAAAATCGCTGCTCCATTCCACATTCACCCCTGAAAGCTGAGTAAATGTTTAGCGGAAGAGATGTTTTCACCAGAAATCTCAGCCATGAGTGTGTTGTGCTGTTCTTATGCGACAGGTATAAATAACATCTTGCTTTTGCCCCAGTAGTTTACAGCAGTGACAGTGGCAGAGAGAGTTTTCCATGAGCTGGGGGAGTGCAGCATACTGCACTTAACAGGGAATGAGTCTGCTTTTCAGATCTCAAACCCCTTAAGTGGGATCTGTACTTAAAAGGCACCCAGCAAGCGGGTGTGTGCGCACATTGTGTATGTAAAGTGCTTGAGATGCTGCTCTGAAAGCTTTGCAAACTGGCAGGCGCCCAGGAGTCATCATCCTGAACTTGCTGGAGGAGGCGGCTGCTCTCTGGAAGTTTTTTTGCTTTGGACTAGCCCAGCTGACTGCTTCTTGGAGTGATTTGGTCTTGCTTGCCCAATCTCAGCTGCTGTTTGCACATACTCAGGTGCCTTGGTTCTCCTGTGTGGGGTAGGCACTGTTGGCTGAAGGAACATGCGGGACACTTAGTGAGATGGGGGAAGAGAGGAGGGAGATGATGTGAGGTAGGAGAAAGGATTTGTGGATAGGGTGCTTAGTGCTCTGTTGCTGAGGTGGCTGGAGGTTTCCAGCTGTGGCAATACTCAGCTGTGGAATCCAGTGGGCATGACAAAGGGATTCAGCCTGGGGTCTTGAACTCTCCCTGGTACAAATATAAAAATTAGGGAAATAGTGCTGGAATGAGATGAGATGCCAAATGTGTCTGTGTGTGCATAACTGTGTGTCTCTTCCTTTATCTTGCAGCCACTGTATTCATCAGATACTGGAGAGTGTGAATCACATTCACCAGCATGATATCGTGCACAGGGACTTGAAGGTAATACTTCCTCTGTGCCACAGAGGCGAGGAGAGCAGCCAGGGGATCATTGGAAGAGGCAAGACAGCAGCACTGTGTTGCCAGCTGGCAGAGTATTTTTTTCTTGTTTTTTACTTGAACTGAACTCAGGGGTTCCTGAAGCACCAAATTTCTCCTTCAGAGTTTTCTAGAGGGTGTGCTGAACTCCTGAGGAATTTCTCAGTTTTCATGAACCTTGCCACCTCTCAGCTTCTCTGAGGCAGCTCCAGGATGGAATAGTTGTGAACCTTGGATTGCAGTAGGTCTTCAGAGAAACTTGGGTACAATTATTTATAATGAAGGACACTTTCTAGTCTGCCATTGAAGAGATTTCTAGAGACCTGGGGCGATCTCTGTTCAATCTGCCAGGACGAGTTTGTCTGCACAGTGCATGTATATTTTTATTCTGCACTGTTACCAAACACGCCATTGGGCTAAGGCAGAGATGCCCAAGAATTTTTCACACTGTTTCTTTTTTCTTTAGTCAGTAGAAGTGCTTTTAATCTAAAACCAAAACTGCTGGCCACTTAAACACTGGGTGAATCGACCGTTTGCCACATTATAACACATTTATAGACCCCCCCGACCCCCTGCAGTGTAGTTACTTAAACTCCCTTCTCACACAGTGCCAGCTGTACTGGGAGCTGGGCAGGCTCCAGAATGAAGAGCTTTGAGCAGGAAAGTCTGCCTGTCCTGCAGCCCTTTCTGTCTGAAGTGGGAATGGTGATGACCACCAGTGGTCCAGTTAATGTAATGCAGGATGACACCTGCTACTAGAGTTGGTTTTGGTTTGTTACACAACGCATAAGGGGAGAAAGTATTAAAATAGTTTGCAGAGAGCAAGGTAAAAGCATGTTGCAAGCTTGGTGGCAGTGTTCCTCCAGTGTCCTGATCTAGTGGACAGCTGTTAACCCTTAGTGTCTCTGCCAGACTCCCCTGCAACACTTCTGGCCTTCTGATTCAGAGCACTGTGAAAAGACACAAGTGCTCTACTGTGGAATGGCCGCTCTGGATTAGGGCTGGTACCTGCTCTGGAGGAAGCTCCAAGAGGCACTACTGCCCAGTATTTGTGCCTCTATGAGAATCATTAGTGTTTTGCAGTACAAGATGGTTTAAGTTTTCCTTTGCATCCTGTGTTCAGCTACAATCTGTTTGGCTTCCCAGGTTTTGTCTGTGTGAAAATTGTGAACTTGTTTCAAACTTAGCTGATAGATACTCCTCTCTGTAGTTAATATGTTTCTTCTGTTGCTTTCTCCTATTCGCTGAAACTCTCCAGGCCTGAGGAGTAGCCATTCCTTTTAGCAATAAAAGATCCCATGCTCTTTAATATTTAGCTCCTTGCCAAAAGCTTGGCCTTCAAGGTCAGTGCATAATAACTGCAGAGCTTGCCTCAAGTGAAGTTTTATCTTTTGCACCTCCCTCTCTCATAAGCCTGTCTTTTGGCTAATATGCTCTTAAAGAACTTTATATGTTGAGCTGCATATAGGGACCATAAAAAATTTTGGAATGTATTCACATCCTTACCAAAAAGTATGTGAAACCTGAGACAACCCATATGTTGGCAAACATGCATATGGATAAGCACCATTAGCCCTAAGGTGTTTGTAGCTGTATTTTAGAAGCAAATAGTGCTTAGCTAGCAAAAGCCTGGCTTGAATTTCATTGTTTCTTAGTAAAGCCAAGCCCAGATGTGATCTAAGTTGAAAGAGATTTTCAGAGGACTTCACTGGTTTTCTGCATTAGGGGCTTCTTTACATTGGTGAATTTTCATCAGTATAGCTTGTTTCCACTTTCCATACAGTGAAAAGCTGGTGTCATCCAAATATATTTAGACCCCAATCCCTTCCCTTCCATGCTGCTTATTGTAAGGACTGTGATGGCAAGGCTGTTCTCCATTCAGAGGAGAAGCAGGGCACTTTAAGGCTGATGAATGAGCAAAGCATCTTGTTCCTGTCAGGAAGAACAGGGATAGAGGCTGTAAAAAAGACCTTCATCAGCTCTGAAACTGAGACAATCTCCTCTTTCTCAATTTCCAGGCTTCCATCTTGTGTGGTTAACAAATCAAGTGGATATGAATTGCAAAAATAATCAGAAGGAGTTAGGATGAGAAATCACATTTGTCCTGCCTATCTACAAGATGGGTTTCCTGTAGAACTGTGATAGGCACCACTGTAAAGGCTTTGGAGTTTTGAAGGGTCCCATGTAACTAGCTGCTCTCGTGCTTCAGAGGAAGCTGCTGGCTCTCAGTCCAATTTTTGGAGTTGTGTTAAGCCTTCTGCTGAAGTCCTCTGCTGGAACACAACAGAACTATGATTCAAGTGAGATATATGTGAGGCAGAAATGTGGGGGACAAAAGACTGTCTGCCTTACCTGGCACATGGGGGAAGTAACAGGACTGCTTATTGTATAGGTGACAGCGGCAGTAGCAAGACAGTGTATTTTGTGCTACTGTAAATATACAGCATGAAAAAGATATCGTACAAGAATATTCACTACTGTGCTACTTACGCCAATGTGAGGCTGAGGCTTTTTCTGTAAGGGGTGAAAGCTACTGCCTATCCAGATGAAGCCTTCCCATATTATGGTGCTGTATTTGGCAGCCCTTATTGGCATCATATTTACTTTACACAGTCCCCAAGGCACTGGAAATGTTCATGGGGAGAAACATCATGGCAGATTTTATCTAATGCATCTTCCTCCGGTTCCCTTCCCCCACAATTACTCTCTTTGGGGATGACAGAAACAAATTTTGGTTTCTGCACTGCAGGAACTGTGCTGCCAGTGCCCTCTGGTGTCAGCATGTAATACATGGGCTGGGTTGGGAGAGCCTCTGCCTCCCACAGAGGATTTGTTGGACTTGAGGATTTTCTGCTACTCTAGGTCAAGGCCGTTTGTTGCTGCCTTCACCTGAACAGCTTTAGTACATGCGTGCTAAATTCAGGCAGTAGTTTGAATTTAATGTTGTGAGTAGTGTGGTTGGAGGCTTTAACAAAGATGTCAGTCTTTCATTCTTTTTTTTTTTTTTTTTTCCTTTCTTCTCCCCAGCCTGAGAATTTACTACTGGCAAGTAAATGTAAGGGTGCTGCTGTCAAACTGGCGGACTTCGGACTGGCTATAGAAGTCCAGGGAGAGCAGCAGGCCTGGTTTGGTAAGAGCCTTTGAGCTTTCCCACTCCTGCTCCCTGCTTTCCTGATGGCTAGTTGACTTCCACCCTTCCTAAGGACTTTTTCTTAGCTCTTCCAGCATGCTTGTGTGTTTTTGGCATTGCTGCTGCTTTTCCTAGCATTTCAGCCTCTGGGTCCTTGGGCACAAGCCTAGGTGGAGTAGAGGAAAGAATATGATAAACAAAGACAGAAAAAATGGCTATATAGTTCTCTGTTTTTCTTTTCAGTTTACAGTAGGTGCTAGTGTCAGAGATGAATGCAGCTGCTAAGTTTAGACCCTGATCTGAACTTTCCTACTGCTCAGGAATGCAGACATCTGGAATTTTCTTCAGTCATTTTACAGAAATTCGTTTACCTGGGCTTTCTCTGCCACATTTGGGTCTGGCCTTATCTTTGTTTGGCTAAAATGTAATTGGAAATGAGACATTCTCAGGCTAACCATAAACTCTGAGACTTGGCAGTGCTGCAGAGATTCTGGAGAGATGGCTGCTTCTCCTGGTCTGCCCACATCACTTGGCAATCAGATGTGTCTTATCTGTGTCTTGTGTTTTCAAACTCCAAGCCATTATTTGTAACAATGATATAAAGCCTGGCATATGAGTTTGTGCCCAGCTGGTTGACACAGTCCCTGTTTCTTTTTCTGTTTTTCCTGCAATTCTTGATCCCATATGAGTTTCATGTTTCATTGTGTTGTGGTTTTGTTTGGCTGGTTTTTTTTTGTGTGTGTGTGGGTTTTGTTTTGTTTTGTTTTGGTTGTTGTTTTGTTTTCTCCTGTTACTCTTGATTTACCAAGAGGTAGCTCTATCAAACATGAGGTGAATGGTGGGAAATGGGGTTTGGAATTTTTTTGGTTATCACTAGAGGATTTTGTGATCTGGCAAGTTCTCTTCTGTTTGGGTATTGTAAGTACTTCATGTTGTCCGTTTCCTGGCAGGATTTGCTGGCACTCCAGGCTACCTCTCCCCTGAAGTCTTAAGAAAAGATCCTTATGGAAAACCAGTGGATATATGGGCATGTGGTAAGACTCTGTCAAAATGTTTTACCCTTAAACAACATTGTTTCATGTAGAAGAGCAATTCCTTATAACCAATTGCTGGGAGGGTGTGCAGTGCTCCTTCTTATTGGGTGGAGAGAAGAAGGCACTTGAGGATAAGCACCTTGTGTAGATGGAGTTAATACTGGAGCCTGAACTCGTTTGATTCTGGCTCCTAATGGTTTCCTCAGGCTATCTATCAGATGTTTGAGACTCAAGAGATGGGAACTGTCTATGCTTTGCAGAGTCAGTTGCTTAGATAACTGTAGCCATTTCCTATTACACTAACTATGTAGAAGGTGAAATATTGAAGAGAGTTGTTTTTTAAAAAAGGAAAAAAATGAAGTGTAAATGTATCTGGGACTGATAAGTTTAAAGATATGTGATATCAGTGTTGCCTGACATAGACTAAATGGTTTTCTGCAGGCTAGGAGTGTTAGCTTTGTCAGAGTCATTTTAGTCCCAAGACCATGCACAGTAAGCATCTAAAAACACAGTTCTTCCTAAAAAGTCCCTTGCTGCTGAGCAGCCCCCAGGGGATGTGGCTTCATTGTATTCTGAGAGCAGCTGAGAGGTGTGGCTCACCAGCCATGATAGCCAGAGGAGGGTAGAAGGACATCATGCACTTTGTTCTAGCTCCTGGCAACGGGCGTTCAGAGCTGAACATGAGGTGCCAGGGTGAGGTGCAGCAGAGGAGAGGTTTTCACTGTCTTTTTCTACCTTGGAAGGCTAAATGTGATGGCAAATGAAGATAGAGAGCAATCGTTGCCTTGGGGACTGTCAAGAGGGAAGGAAGAGGGGCTGAAGGAATAATTGGCGTATTAGCCTAACCATAGTGTGTCTGTGTCTCTCCCTCCCAGGAGTGATTCTGTACATATTACTAGTGGGGTACCCTCCCTTTTGGGATGAAGATCAGCACAAACTCTATCAGCAGATCAAAGCCGGAGCCTATGACGTAAGGGCACTTTCTTGCTGAGTACCTGCATGGGTGTAGAAGCCATCCAAAACATGGCACTATGTTACTTGGTGTCCAGCAGCAGGCCCCAAGCTACTGTGCAAAGTGATGTGTGGCATGTTCATACACCTCCATGTCTTCACTGCCTGGGATTCAGTCCTGTTTGGGGCTACTGAAAGGATATGTGGGAAGCATTGCAGTGGGCACTAAGACATTGCTGGTCATTAGGGAAATGCAGAGCTGGAAATGCAGATGGCAGAAATGGTGTCTTCTAGTGCATTTACCACAAAGTGCTGCAGATGTAGCCAGAGCTAACTCAGGGCAGCAGAGCAAAGGTAAAATGAAGGAGCCTTATCAAGGCCTAATTAAAAGTATTAGGGAAGTGTTCTGTAGAATAATGGCTTAAATTAGGGCCTCTGGTCTCCCTCAGTGCCATAGTGAAATTTATTCTAGCCATGGACAGCCCAGTGAGAAGACTGAATGGCAAGAGCCTTTGGAGGGGTGGCTTTGTGGTGACGAGCAGCATGGTGGGTTGGAAGCTCTGGTAAAAAGCCAAGGAGTTCATGAAATGCTTCTCAAAGCATGGCAAAACTGAGGTGTAAAAAGTGCTTGAAGGAAAGGAACAGGCAAGGTGGTTAGTACTGGAGAGCAAAGATGGTGTAAAATGTGTTTTGGGTGCCAGAGCTTGAATGCTTGACTTAAGTCCTTCCACGCAAGGAGAGGCTCTGGAGGGAAGAGGGAACTCTAAGTCCTAGCTCAGAGCCTGTGGGCTTGACTATCAAGAGGAAGTTGAGAAGCTCGTTTTTTAGGCTGTCTTGTGGTTTGTATTGAAAAAAAAAAAGAGAGAGAGAGGGTTCTGCTGGACCCCTGTTACCTCCCAGTTTCTGTGCCCGAGACCGAGAGAGCGACTGTACTGGTGAGAACAAAAGTCTGCCTAACCCTGTGTCCTGGCTCAGTGGCTTCCTGAGTGAAAGAAAAGTGATGTCTTTGTACTTGATAGCTTTAAATGGACTTGTGTTCTTCTCTCACCTTCTTGCTCCTCTTGTTTCTGTGTTGCTTGTTCTTATTTGAAGTGGTTTTGCACTAATTATATTGATGGGGATTTTAAAAGCACTTCAGGGATTAAATGTCTAACTCTTTTTGTAAGTCGTGAGGAGTGAAGTGCCTGACGCCTCCTACCTACCTGTTAGTTTTGCATTCTTACCTATGATGAACAAGTTCCAGTAGCTTCCTCTCCTGTTTTGCCTGGTAGAAAAAGTTTTACTGGCATACCTGTCCCTGGTGTCCTTACCCCAGCATCAAGGGGCCTGTGTGCACTGGACTGGTGGGTTGTTCTCTCTCAACCGCAGAGAAAGTGGCAACTGTGATTTGGACTACATGCTGCTGGGTAGGGGTTTTGCAAGGCATGACCATGAATGCTTCAGAGTTCTGATGGGGGGATAGTGTCGTGGCTTGCAAGCTCAGTACCATCAGTTTTGGGTATTCTCTCACAGAGATTGCAGAACAAATTGCATAATGCTTTGCTGATGCCTGAGAATGCAGAAATAAGATTAGATGCAAATCAGATATGGTGCGTGTGGTTTTTATGACTTGACTGAGCAAAGCACAAAATGCAGGAGAAAACAGGTGTGATAAACTTTTTCTAAATAATATAGTACTCTAAGAAGATGTTGTCAGGATAGATCAATCTTTTCCCTGCCCTTAGAGACAGGCGACTTTATGCCAACAGCACATTTATCTTGACATTTTCAAATTCACTTGTATTTGTAGAGTAGATTTGTAGGAGTGAGCTATATTGCATTTAATCTCAGTGTGCTGTCATCTGTACCACATGCAAGCATCTGAAGGATGGTGTAAATATCTTACCTTTATCATTACTGGAGTTGTAGGAGAGAGCAGTTACCCCTCATGGATGATCAGTAGCTGAAATACTTGAGATTCTTTTGTTTCCATGCTTCTGTTTTCCTGTCCACTATTACATCTCTCTTGCTCCCCAAGTAATGATTTCTAGGATGGTAGATGCTTGCTAACAACCTCCTGGTGGGTTGCTGTACCTAAGTGACTGGTTTTGTTCTAAGATATTGTGCTTTATGGTTGGGAAAGTAGAGCTGCTGGGTTGTTCTCTGTTAGCAGTTTTTGCTTTCATGAGATGTTACTGTAGTTAAGCGCTTGTGGTTTTTGCAAATGCTATTATAGCTTTTTAGCATGCTGGAGAAAGAGCAAGGTGGGGTAAAAAAGGTAGTGCTTGTGTTTTTCATGTCAGAGCTCAGTTAAAAAGATCTGTGATTTTATTTTTTTGACTGCTGAGTGTGACAGAAATTCAAAGGTCTGAATGATTTCCAAGAGACGCTTAAACTGTTCATTTTCCTGCCTGTGTCTGGTGAATGGTACAGGTGTGTCCTGCTGTCGGGTACCATTCATTTCCTTCATTCTGTATGATTCTTGTTCAACTTGAATTTTCACCAGAAATGATGTGGTTTTTTTTTTTACAAATATGTTAGCCTTGGTATCAAAGGGGCAAAATCTGGTTTTAAGGAGGGAGAATCTTTTCTGCTATTAGAAGATACTTTCGTTTTGTCATCTGTTCCTTCTTCCTCTTTCAGTTCCCATCCCCTGAGTGGGACACTGTGACACCTGAAGCAAAGAATTTGATCAACCAGATGCTAACAATAAACCCAGCCAAGCGCATCACAGCTGACCAGGCTCTCAAACATCCATGGGTCTGCGTAAGTGTTTTCCTCCATTACAGATGGATTTGCGGTTTACCCTGAACTGACATGTCAAGACTTAGCTGCAGAGGAACCCAGAGTAATTTAAATATTTCGAGTTGTGATTTTTTTTGGAGGCCGTCCTTCAACAAGCCAACTTTGTCATGCTGTGGTGCTTTTATTGCTACTGTATGGGGAAAAAAAACCCTAATTTATTCTTTTAGAAGTTTTGTGAATGTCCATTGTTCCTGATTTTCTCCACGTCTCCTCTTCTAGTTGATATCATCCTAAAATGTCAGATGGAGGAGTCTGGCATCAGACAACATATTTTAGGATTATTTCATTCTTCATCTCTACTGCAGTTTATTGCATTGCATCTTTGCAACATAACATTTTTGCAACATAACATTTTTGCTGTGCTGCAGCTTAACTGGCTGTAAACTTGAAATCAGCAAAAAGCGTTTTGCTGCTCTGTGTATGTAGTTTCTGCCTTGCCAGATCCCACACATGAGTATTTTTGATCTTTTGCAAAGTTGACGAGGAAATCCCAGCATACAGCTGGACGTGGGCGTAGGGGAGGGCAACAGTGGCGCACTTTCATCTCTGCTGGATGAAGTAGTTCCACTTGAATCTAACCAGATGCTCTTGTAATACCATGGCGTGCTTCTGCTTTCTAGGATGTGTACTGTGTGTTCCTTGGCTCGTTTGCTCTTAAGAAACTGTGAGGTTTTTTTCCTTCCACCATGAAACAACAGATTAGTGATTTAAACTTACTTATGTGAACATCTGTGCAACAGGAGTATAGTGTCTGTTGTAAAGTGATTCAAGTTCCTTGGAAGTCAAAAACGTCACACTAGCTGACACTTTGCGTCTTTTTTTTTCCCTCTTTGTAAGCTTCTAATCAATAGCAGTTCCTGCATGTTTAACTTTTGTCCCAATGCCTGTAAACCAAGCTGTGTGTATTATGATAGCACACTCGCTGTGGGAACGTAATATAGAATGGCTCAAGAGAGGCTTTCCTTCTCTGAGTTATGGGGCGTTTGATTTCACTTGACAGCCAGTTCAGCCTCTTACCCCCTGCCTCCTGTTGTGCCTGTTGATTCCATTTGCTCTGCAGTCTCTGTGTGCAGCGTGTGCTTTCTTTCTGGAGGTGTATTGCTCCTCTGAAGTAAGTGTGCTAGAAAATCTTAAAAGTTTCTCTGAGTTTCTTAGCATCAGTGAACTTCTGAGGTATGTGTCCTGACTCTTGTGCACCCACAATGAACGACTGGACACCACTGTCACTCCTAAGGAGGCTGGACAAACAGTAACCACCTAAGTTGGTGGAGCAAAGTTTAGCTACTTTCTCCTTCCACACTGCTTTGGGTACTGCAGCAAGTGACTAGCTTTGACAACAGATCAAACCAGAGACTTCCCATGAAACTAGCTGAATATGAGCATAGTTTACAGTTCATTTGGGTATTGAAATTTTTTTTCCAAGCAGCAGAAAAATGATGGAGAGTTTGTATGCACCTATCTGCCAAGTCAGTAATTCATCCACTGTGCTTGTAAAGGGGATTTAGACTCGTGGCTCTATTGAAGAGCATCATCTACTTTGGCATTAATCTCTTATTTTTCTCATGTGCTTCAAGTGTCTGGCAGCATCAGTCTCTGGTTTCCTCAGTGACTGGCGACACTTCTGGGAAATTCTCTTTTTGCAGGTGATGGGATCCCAGTCTGCTGTGGGTGCATCACAGAGTAGAGGTTATGCTGAGGTTTTTGCATTGGTACCATAGAGCTATATGATCTTTCCTCTCACTGAGTTTTGCACTATTCCTGCAAAACTGATACAAAGATGTCGAGGCCTCTGCTAGTCAAGCACTTGCATTCAAGGAGTGGACATGTCCAGGAAGGCTGCCACTCGCTAGTATTTACTTAGGGCTTGGAATTTCCCCTTAGAGCCATGAGTAATGCAACCCAGATCTTTTCTGTAGAGCCTCTAACTTGGTCCCTGATGGGTATGCTTGTTCATTTGACTTTGTCTTCTTACTATCATGAGCCATTTGTGTGCCTGAAAGACAGGGAGCATTGATTCTCACCTATACCTTGGTCATAGAGTTTCTTGGGCACAGTCCTGAAATAGCCAGCCTTGACTTGACATGTCTTGCTGTATTGTGAAGTTCTTAAGTCATGACCCAATTGCAGTGTTCTGCAGCCGTGCACTGGTGGTGAGAGGCTTTGCCATGTCAGTCTGCATGTCACAGTTGTTTGTGAGTGGAGCACACTCATCTGATCTGGTTAGGGTATGTTCTTGATCTTTTGCTGGTCCTGTTTTTCAGCAACGATCCACTGTTGCTTCAATGATGCACAGACAGGAGACTGTGGAATGCTTGAGGAAGTTCAATGCTAGAAGGAAGCTAAAGGTAAGTATGTGTTAGCTTTGTCTTAAGTTTGTTTTTAATCCTCTGAATTTGAGGTTAATGCCTTTCTAGCAGCAGTATTTTCTTTTATGATTAGCTGATTAGATCACTAATTTTAGTGAAGTACCTTATATGGTTCTCCAGTACAGAGTACTAAGGTAGCATATTGAGGAGCTGCATAGTTTCTCTAAAGCTGTAAGTTTCCCATGCCTCTTCTGCTGCATAATCACCCCCTTTCTATTGTCTGGAAGAGAGCTGAAATAGAACAATTAGTTCTTAAATCCTGGAGCTTTTAATTCTCATCACTTTCTGCATCCCAGTAACAGTGTATCAGTGGCCTGTAGCTAGGGCAAAGCCTCTGCCCTGTGCAGGAAGCAGCTCTCTGCCCTTTGAAAGCTCAGTAGCATCTATGGTGGTCTGTGATTCTATGGTGATTCTCTTTGTCCAAGCACAACTCTTAGTGCTACTTTAGATTTCCTAAGCTAGCCTGCCTGGCTGCGAGCTGCCACTCTTGAAATGCAGGCCTCTGAGCGATCCTGTGTCAAGTCCAACAGCTACATGTGGGAATCCTGGATATACCAGGACATTCTAGGGTAGCATTGTGCAGCCTCTGCTTTGGGACCTGATGCAGTGTGTTCTCCATGGGTCAGCCCAGCCCTTTTCTGAAGTGGGTGACACTGTCTGTTATCCCTGCTTTCTCTTCCCCACAGGGTGCGATCCTCACAACGATGCTCGTGTCTCGGAATTTTTCAGGTAAGTTCTCACTGTTCACATCCCTTCCTTGGTTTTGTTTTGTGTGAGTGAGTCGAGATATTTTTAACCATTTTATGGTTGAGCAGGAGAGGGGAAAACATGCTCACAATTCGTCATGATGTAGTGGTGGTGATTTTGCCTTGTCTGGTGACCAGTGTAAAATAGTAAGTGATTCATCTGGGGAGGAGCACATAGCGCTGTAGCCTGGTACAAAACCAAAATCAAGTCAGCCACCACATTCCTCTCATGATATTTTGTTATCAGATGGTTTTTGGGAAATTCTAGCTGGCATTTGTTAGCTTTCTTGTTTGAAGCCAGGAGTCAAGAACTCTTATTAGGTAGCAGTGACGCCTTCAGACCTGAGGCAGGGACGCAGGGCAAGTAATAATGTTGGTGAAAATAGTGGCAGAAGCTATTTGGGTATTGTATTACTTTGACTCATCAAAAATGGGTCTGAAGCATCTAGCTATTAGAGTTTTCTTTCTTGGAGTCTCAGAAGTGTTTTCATCCTTTTAAGCTTAATAACTGATAGTCTGGCTCCCACCCAACTGCATTACGTAGTGCATTTACTGAAAATGAAAATCTTAACATGCAAACCAGTGCTTTTTGGAAGATTATAGTCTTGGCTCAGCACATCTAGGTGCCAGTCTTGCCTGTGTTCATTTCCATTTGGGTGGAAAACCTCTATTTGCAAATGCTTTTGGTTTGTGGGATTGTTTGTGTTCTTTGCCTTCTTCTCTTCTTTCTTTTTTTTTTTTTTTGAAAAAGGCAATCATTGAATGCATGAGTCAGATTTTTATTGCACCCGACTATGGTTACTTTCGAGTGAAAGTCTGCTGTATGGATTATAAGTGCTGATGAATTAAATGGAAGTGTATTAATTTCATCTGGCCATTTACTAATGGCAAATACTTATATTCTGGGTGCTATTACAATAAACTTCTAACTTGAATTAAAATCTCTGTGAAATGATCATCCCAGCATTCAAAGTGCATATTAGAATCACTGAATAGAATCATGCATACATTCTCATGTTAAATCAAGGCAGCACTTTTAACCTCATGTATGGTGCTTAAAAAAAAAATAAGATTAAAGGATGTGAAATCAAATTAAGGGACAATCCTCAGCAACTTTGGAACAGCTTTTCTTTGGTTTTTGCCTTCAGGGGAACCTGTGCCAGTGTGTCAGGGCTACTTGTGGCTACAGCAATTTATCTTTACTGCATTTCTGATAGTCTGGCCTAAAGAGACAATATTTTTTTCTTCATTCACCTGTCCCAAGATTGTGCTATTACAGGACTTAAAAATTATACATAATTTTCTGAAAATGATCCTGAAATAACTGTTTGAGGAGCTATGGCACAATGACAGGTCTTTAGCAGTACTGAATGAAACTTAATGCTTTCTTTGGGCTTTCAGCTGGTGTGAACAATTTTTCATCTGTTCACATAGCTAGTTTTTATTTCACTTAATTGATGATTCTGAAATAGTTTTTTTTATTTTATTTTATTTTTACCAGCAGTTTTAGATTCAGTTTTAGACTGCAAATATTGTCACTTCTAATGAAGCTGCAGAAGTGCTTGGGTAGGAAAATCTCCTGTGGCCCAGATTTTGAGTACATGAACTGCCTGAGAGAAGGGTTCTCCTTAATAGTGTATGACCTATACATCCACGTATTCCCTCAGCTAGTATCAAGGAGGAAAGCTCTTGCTCTGCTCATTCTTTGTCTCAGGGGCTGAAGCTGCTGGATCCACTTCACTTAACAGCTGAAGAAAACGAAATCCTAGGTGGCCCATAGTAATTGCAGGGTTCTCAGTATCAGTGAGTTATGCTTTGAATATAAGCTGTGATTCCAGGTAATAGAAAAACTATCCAGAAAGATATGTTGTGCATTTAGATGCAAAGCATTTATAGCCTCTGTGGATGGTAGCAATTCCTAATATTCTAATAAGTTTTGAAAGTGGAGAGGTCAGCTACTCTTGTGTTCTTTGTAGGACGGTGTGTAATATGGGCTTGACTTTTTATTAATATTATTTCTAAATTTACTTAGGTTTTTTAATTGCTGCAGTTGAAATACATAAATCTGCTGGTATTGAAGAGTAAGTGCATGCTAACTGAAATTAAAAAGTCTATGAGGGATCTTTGGGTAGAGCTCAGACTTTTGCTATCATGACAGGTCATCTAACGATGCTTGAAAAGTTCTGAAATATTGCTTGTTTCTTTC